CATTGGTGTTAGCCTTCTCTGGCATGTGTGTTATCTCTGGAACATATTTTGAAAATGTAATATTCCCACTAAAGACAATATATCAGTGTTATAATTTCACCAAGCACGCTGAATTTCATTTTTCCCCTCATCATCGTTCACTCTTCATTATTTCAGGCATTGTGACAAGATGTCCTCTCGAACTGAAGATGAAGAGAAGGAAAGAAGGAGAGGAGTGGTACGGGAAGATAAGCTACCAGGGTTATGAAGAAGAGATAAAAGACCCTGCAGATGTGGAGAAAATGATTAGAGAAGGTACAGTATACACAGTTCTTTAATGCTACTATCAAAAGCCAAGTATTTGTGAAGCTATACTCGTCTTTTTAGGTTTCAGTGATCAGCACTTCCATCCTGTACTAGTCAAATATTGTGTCCTCTCTCTCCAGCTCAGGTAAAATTGGCCGGGATCGGGGTGGGGATCAGTGATGACCTCATCAGTCTAGAAATTGCCTCTCCTGATGTTCCAGACCTGACGCTCATTGACCTGCCCGGCATCACCAGGGTGGCTGTAAAGGGACAACCTGAGAACATTGGAGACCAGGTATGCTAATCCAGTGTCTCCAAAACACAGTTTTCATGGGGACAATTTATTTGGTAGCAAAGTAATGACAGTAAGATTTATACTTTATAACCACTGGAATTAATACTTTCAGATAAAGAGACTGATCCAGAAGTTTATAACAAAACAAGAGACCATCAGCTTGGTGGTTGTTCCATCCAACGTGGACATAGCAACCACAGAGGCTTTGAAGATGGCACAGGAGGTGGATCCTGGTGGAGACAGGACTTTGGGTAAATGTGGCTGATTCTAGAAAAGGACTCCTTGGACAAGTTACTTGACTTTTAGATAGTTCACTGTCTGTTTGCCCTTCTCTCTCTCAGGTATCTTGACCAAGCCTGACCTGGTGGACAAAGGCACAGAAGAGTCGGTAGTTGAAATTGTCCATAATTTGGTCATCCACCTGAAGAAGGGCTACATGATCGTCAAGTGCAGGGGTCAGAAGGAGATCACAGAGAGTGTGTCTCTTACTGAAGCAACAGAAAGAGAAAAGGCATTCTTCAGCGAGCATCTGTATTTCCAGTGAGTTCATTATTTTTGGGTAATAATGCAATGAATGATTTGCAGTTTGACTGGTTGGGTACTTTCTACTCAGTAATGTTTTATCTTTGCTGTAGGACTCTCTACAATGAAGGCCATGCCACGGTTCCTAAACTGGCAGAAAAACTCACCCTTGAGCTGGTGCAACATATCCAGGTAAACACTCCTCAGTGCTTCACCATAGCGGTTCACTACAGATTACTTTGCCATTTCATGTGTTAAAGGTTTGACACCTGTGATTTGCAGAGATCTCTGCCTCAACTGGAAGAGCAGATAAAGAAGAAACTAACAGAGACTCAAGCAACGCTGAACACATATGGCAGTGGACCCCCAGCTGATGCAGCTGAGAGACTGGGTTTCCTCATTGACGTGAGTTTACTAGCTGTCACTTACAAAACACTGCACCTCCTCGTTTTGATTTAATTCTCATTCTTCTTTTATCTGAACCTATTTCATTTTAGAGAGTGGCAGCGTTTACACAGGATGCTATCCGCCTCACCACAGGGGAGGAAATCAAATTTGGAGGCAAGCTGAATATCTTTGCCATACTCAGAGAAGAGTTTGCGGATTGGAAATATACCATAGAGGACTCTGGAATAATGTGTAAGTGCATCAACAACCTGGGCATTACGTAAACTCTTTGCTGTGGTTTCCATACTACAAAATTGTAACCTAAAGTGTAAACTGTTGAGTAAGATATTAAAATACTGTTTATTTTTATTCCATTTTCCTTCTCAGTATGAAAACACTGCTCCAGACTGCTGTATCACTGCTAACCGAGTGTTAACCTTGTTTGTGTCCACTTTTTCTTTCACCAATTCATCCCTATTGCAGTCAACCAGAATATTGAGAGTGAGGTGACTCAGTATGAACAAAAGTACCGTGGAAGAGAACTGCCGGGGTTCATAAACTACAAGACCTTTGAGGACATGGTCAAGGAGCAGATCAAAAAGCTGGAAGGGCCTGCTCTCCTGAAACTCAAGGAAGTGGCAGGCATGTCATATTATGATGCTACAATGATTGCAAGCCAGCTGAATATGTAACACCTTAAAGTTATTCGTAGATCTTGTATTGTTTGATTTGTGTTTTCTTTTTTAGACATTGTGACGAAAGAGCTGGTTAAGTTGGCACAGAGCAGCCTTGTTGGGTTTCCTAACCTCATCAGAACAGCACAGGTATAGTTTTCATTGCCCATATATATAACTGAACATTGTTGAATATTTACTGATAATTGTGTATGTCCTTTAGATGAAGATTGAAGCCATCAGAAAGGAGAAGGAGACTGCAGCAGAGTCCATGCTGAGGTCTCAGTTTAAAATGGAAATGATTGTTTACACTCAGGACAGCACATACAGCAAGAAGTTAGGGAAGCGGAAGAGGGAAGTTGAACCGCAATTTTTGGGTGTCACCTTTGGTACACCAGTAAAGAAAAGCACCCTGAGCACTGACAGTGGGGCCACCCTGAGAGAGATGATTAAACACCTGAAGTCCTATTACAAAGTAAGTATAATCTATATGCTGTACATTTTATTTCTGTGCCTCACAGCATTTAATACATCACACATTTTATTTACCGTAAAAAGGTCGTAAATAAAACGCTTATTTTAATCTGCACCTCCTCCCATTGCATTCTTGTTTAGAATGTGGCATTTAAATATATTTTATTACCAGACTAAGTTAGGTACATGGTTAAAATATGATTTTGTTGGCAGCTAAATATAGAAATATACTGTATTGATGGGGGCTATGAATGTCAGTATAAAACAATTTTATATAAATGCAGCAGAGTAGATCATTTCTAACAACTTCCAGTACAAACCATGTACACTAACGGTAAAAACCAAATACCAATCATTTTCTTACATTGACAGATACAGCGTGACACCCCGACTTTCTCCTTTCTAAACCACAGATCGCTGGCCAGCGTCTGGCTGACCAGATTCCGCTGGTAATCCGCTACCAGGTGTTGCAGGAGTCTGCCGTCCAGCTGCAGAGGGAGATGCTGCAGATGTTTCAAGACAAGGCGAAAACAGAGTCGCTCCTTCAAGAGGACCCTGGCATAAGAACCAAGAGAATCCACCTTCAGAATCGCCTTGAGCGGTTGTCATTGGCACGCATTCTGTTGACTGACTTCAGTATGAACACATACAACTTCAACCAAGGGCTTCGGTTTGGTCGCAACATTAGAAAGGACACAACAACCCACCCCCTACCCTCCACAACCACCCCTGTGGGTGCGACTGCTGTAAAAAGCAAACAAACAAAAAAACAGAGGACTGATAACTTCTGACCGCCAAATGGTTTATTACCGTACTACCTTAGATCTGTATTAACATTCAAATAAAGTATACACAGTAACAGATCAAAGACTAAAATATAGTACAAATTTTGAAATTACTTTCTATTAGAAAGGAGAAAAAAACATACACAACACAATATTTCCGTTTTTTTTGCATCCAACATCAACATTCAGTAGGTTTAACCAGATTCAGTACATGACCTTATTTCCTTTCTATTCTGTAGTTTTCCTTGTTTTCTTTGGCAGCAAGAGGGCTGCAAACGCCTTAATGAAGGCCTGTACATACCTGGTAGAGTTCTGTAGGCGGTTTAGGCCTGACAGCATGATTTAGGTTTTCAGCTTGGCACATACCTTCATGGTTGTGGAGTGGGTTTATTATTTGTTACATTGGGGCTTGAGTTTAAAATTAATATGTACAAGTTATATATTTGATACAATCAGAATATGTGAAAATGTCTTTGTAACAGAAAATCCTCTTAAAACCAGAAGTTACCATCAAAAAATCGTTTAAGCCCATAAACCACATAAGTCATCATAACAAGAATGAATCAGAAACATTGCACCAACATGGTGATGGTAGTGAGAAGCAGACTTGGACTATTATTTTGACAGTAATTCATGAGTTTTGACAGTTTCTTAATGTATATGCATCATTGCATATTCAACATGTACATTTAAACAGACGTTGCAAATACTATTTTAACAAGCAGTGTTTCAGAAGAGCCCCATTGTCTTGATGAAGAAATGCACAAAATAATGTCATAGTACTTCCCTATTTACTGTTATCTTGCAAAAGAATAATAAAGAAGAAGAAATAAATCCTATTTCCGATTGTCATCAAATCATTTACTAGTGTATTACAGTAGGCATGAATTAAAATGAACATTGTGCTTTTCACAATGTTTCATATGTTTTTATTACAGCATTAAATGGAAGAATTCAAAATCGTTTTGAGTTCCTTCATCATTCCTCCGAGGACACAGAACAGGTGTTACCAGCAGGACTTTGATGAATAATAAACTAGTATAATAGTATACTTTGTAAATTCCCTCGTGCTTTATTGAAAAGATGATTGCCCGAGAATGTGATACATTATATGAACATACTGCATCGGAGCTTAATATACACAGGTGGTGAGCACTAGTCACCCTATGTTGAATGAATATGTTCCCCTGGTAGATGTCTCCACGTGCCCCGGGAACAGAAATGAAAGTCAAGGAAACGAAACCTAGCATAACTTTAGTTTCGTTTTTCTGCTGCATCTCTTAACATCCACGGTGGGCGTCTGTCGCACTCAAGTTTCAGCATCCGAGCAGCTCTGCTACTTTATTCCTTTTTTTCTCTGCAGGATTCAAGCCGTCGTCACCATGAACACTCTGAACCAACAGTATGAGGAGAAGGTGCGTCCC